TCCTGTGGGAGAAGCACCGCAGGCCAAGGAGCTGCCAGTAGTATTGAAGCCCCCAGAAGTGGCAGAGCAAGGAGTGAGCAAGGAGTGCCCCAGGTGGCCCCATGTTGCGGAGCTACTGAAACCACATAGCAGTCACTGAAGGCCCTGAAGGCAGAACATCAGGACCTGGCTGTGCAGGCAAACCAGGCCCTGTCCACCCTCCCACAAGGGGAGACTCAGGATCTCCACAGTGACCCAGTGCCCTCCTGGCCAGAAAAAACGCCAGTGCCTGTCTCTGGAGCCCTGCCAGAACCTCAAGGGGCACAGGCAGGATGTGTAAGCAATGCCAGAGCATGGACAAGACAAGCTGGTTCAGCACCAGCACTCTCCCATGTAGGGAGAGAAAAAAAACACCCCAGGAGCCCTGCCCATGCCCGGAGCTGTTCCACCACACTTGCCTCCAGCTAGTGCTAGTTCTCTGGCAGGGAGGGGTCTGTGGGGGACAGGTAGATTCCCAAGTAGAGCAGTGAGCCTGCACTCCAGCAGATCCTGTGGAGCATGGGTGGGAGTGTGACCACCTACCACCCGTCACCCACTGTCAGGCCAAAGCTCTTGACCCAGTTGACCCAGGCAGAGGAGGCTGCTGAGTACAATGCTTGCCAGGCCTCCACCTGTGCCAGGTCACCTGAGTCCTGGACCACAAGAAGTATGTCATAAGCATACACTGACAGGATGAGCCATACCACCAGCTCCCAGAGCATCAATCCCACCACCCATTTCCACAGGAGAACAAGGAAAGCTTCCAGAGCCAAAGCATACAGTTGACCTGACAGCAGGTAGCCTTGACGCACCCCTCTCCTGAATGAGATGGGCTCCGTCAGGGTCTAGTTGAGCTTGACCAAACACGACAGAGGCACACAGTACCTGGAGAGCCCACACAAAGTGGGAATGAAACTAAAGGCCTGCAGCGTTCCTGTGAGGTACCCATGATCCTCTCTGTCAAATGCCTTCTCCTAGTCCAGGGATAAGAGAGTGAAAGACAGGTCCTCCTGGCATGCTAGCTCCAGGAGGTCCTGAACCAGGTACAGGTTGTTGAAGATGGAATGTCTGGGCACCGTATATGTCTGCTCGGGATGGATCATGTCTGGCAGCACAGACTGCAGGTGCAGTGATATGGACTTCACTGCCACCTTGTAGTCCATGCACAGAAGACATGGGACATCAGTCCCTCAGGTCATGGAGATCCCCTTTCTTTGGCAGGAGGGTCAACACGACCATCTGGCATGACAAAGGAAGTTCTCCACTTCCCTTGGATTCAGCCCAGACCTCTGCAAAGTCCAGGCTGAGGATGTTCCAGAAGGCCCGATAGAACGCCATGGTCATCTTGTTGATGCTTGGCACCTCATTGCGAGGCATCAGCGAGAGGGCAGCTGAAAATTCAGTAAAAGTGAGAGGAGCCTTCAACTGTTCCTAGTCACTTGTGCTGACCTGTGGGAGTCCCTCCCACAGGGTCTGGCATGCTTCAGCATTGGTCAGATCCAGGGAGAAGAGTTCTTCTTAGAAGGCCCATGCCTGCCAGCGCATCTCACCTGGATCCATGAGGGGGTGCTATCACCCTCCACAAGGCAGGTGATTTACTTCTTGGCCCCACACCTCCTCTCCAGGCCATAGATGAACTGAGAGCCACAGTCCATCTCCGGAAGGAGCTGGATACACAAGCGGACAAACACACCTCAAGCATGGTGATTGTTCAGAGCACAAAGCTCCTCCTGCCTCTCCCAACACTCTCTGCAGAGGGACAGGTTGGTTGGGTCAGTGGCCAGGTGCCTCTCCAGCTCCAATACTTCCCACTCAAGCTGCTCCCAGACAGTGTCCCACTGCTGGTTGTGCCCCTGAGTGTAGCTGTGGCAAAAAAGCCAGATGCACATCTTCACCATGTCCCACCATCTCCGAGCTGAGGGGAAAGCTGCCCATTTTTCCCACCAGGCCATCCAGAACTCCCTGAAAACCTCCCTGAAGCCCACATCCTCCATCCAACTGACATTGAAATGCCAGTAGGCCAACCCTGGATGTCCAGGCCCTAGCATGGCCTGGGCCCAGACAAGGTGGGGATTGCTGAATGGAACTGGCCAGATGTCAGTGGGCCTGGGCAAAGTGCAGCAAAAAGGTGTAAACCTGGTCTTACCAGGAGTAGCATGCCTGCTCCACCCCACACCCTCACATAGGTGAAGGCAGGGGTTTGGTAGGGTGACCAGAATGCCAGACATCCACCAGGAAGTAGTCCATCAGGATATCCCTGAGGATACCCATGGAAGCCTGGTTCCACTCCCTGCCCGACTGGTCTCACGCATCTAGGGTGATGTTAAAGTCCCCACCAAGGACCAGGCACTTGCAAATGTTGAGGGTGCCAATGTAAGTGGCCACCTGGTGGAAAAAAAATCTGCCAACTCTGGGTCCCTTGGAGGGGCATAAACATTCAGAAGGTTCAGGACAAACACCTGCACCTGGATCTAGAGCCAACCCCTGCACCTGGACCCGGCAGCCTGGCACCATCTCAACATCCTGGAGAACCTCTGGCTGCAGGCCTGAGAACAGGGTGGCCACCCCACAAGAGGTGGCCAAGAGGAGACTAAAAAAAATCCTGCCTACCCACTTCAGCCGCAGTCATTAGGGTTTCCTGCAAGAATACCATGGGGTATGTGGGTATGGCACCAACCTCCTGAAGGAAGGAGAGCATTCAGCATCGCCAGAGACACTTCCTGCAGCCATGGACATTGAGGGTTGCAATCTTAAATGACCTCATGGATGAGGGGGTGGAGAGTGGACAGATCAGTAGGGGCCTTGTGCATCTCAGCACCCAGTGTGGGGTTTGCCGGCTCAAGCACTGACATCCCATAAGTATAGAGGTTGTCTATGAAACTGCAGGCCTGTCTATAGATCCATGCATTGTAGCTTTTGGGTCCCTTGCCTTCTCCTGCCAGTGCTCTCGCAGTGGTGAGGATGCTGTCAAAATCACTCCAGTCGTCCAAGCTGTATGTTGTTGGCAGACTGTTGTGTGTAGTTGTAGTCAAGAAATTCAAGTAGCTCACCCCTGGAATCTACTTGAACTGAGAGGTCTGCAGGCTCCATGAAGCCTGCCATTCTCAGGCATTCTCCTCCTGGTCCATAGGCTCCTGTTCAGGACTGTCCAGCAGCCCTGAAACCTCCTGCATGGGGATCACCTGTTTGATCTTTCCTGGGACTATGGTGTCAGGTGCAGCTAGGGAGGGCTCCAGGAGCTGGGTTGCTCTTTCCCCCCATGTGGTGGTCTTGGGAGGGGAAGGAGTCCTTCATGTCAGAGGGCTTCAACTGCACTTGGGCCTTCCTCTTGGCTTTGCACCTGGAGGAGACCTGCACCCACTCAGCCATGGGGTGGTCCTCAGGTGGACAGGCTCTAGTAGAGCTTTTGGGGGGTGGGGCAGCTACAGTGGGGGCATCTCTAGGGACAAGGGAGCCCTGCTCCCTCTCTCCCTTTGGCTGCTGCTGCCCTCCACAGGATCCCACCAAACTTGGTTTGGGGGTGGGGTCCCTTGAGCTCACAGGGGGGCTGCATGATATGTCTGGGGTGTTAGGGGGGCCTGAAGGGGGAGGGGTACTGGTGGAAGGGGCACCCATCTCACCAGTAGGACCTGCAGATGCCTTCTCCTCTAGCCCCTGGGGCACTTGTGACTCAAGTGCCCTGGGGAGTGGCACCAGAAGCATTGCGGGTCCCCCAGTGTATAGAAAACCCTCACCAGGGCCCCCTGAAAAGGAATCATGAGGCACAGCCTCCAGCCACTTTCCCACCCCCAGCTGGATCATAACCTGGCAAAGGAAAGAGCGCACGTGGCGGAGACTGGGGTCTCAGCACCACAGCAAAAGGGCCACCACCATGGAGCTAATCCTCCCTAGAATTTGGAGCTGGGGTAGCAGGGCCCAATTAGGATGATAGGGAGGAACAGAACTGAGGACCACCCTGGTCCCCAGCTCTTCTAGGGGCTCAAGGGGGATGTACTTGCCCACCACCATGAGCCCACTCTCCACCACCTTCTTTGCAGTGGCCTCTAAGGGAAGGAAAAAGACCCTCTTGCCATGAAAGCAGGAGACCACCATGATCAGGGGGCTGCAGGAAGCTGTGTGGGGGCAACTGCCCCCCACAGAAGGTTCCTGCCCTGCTATTGCTTCACATGAGGGAGGGGAAGACAATAAAGAAAACCAAAATATACAGTGGGGCTGGTGAATCTTATAGGGACAGGCTGGGGTTGTGGGGGAAATGGGCTAGGGGAGACAATGAGCTACAGTCCCACAGGAAAAAAAAATACCCTGGAGGACTATGCTCGGGGAATGTGGTGGAGGGGAAAACATATACACAAAGGATGGGAAGACTCAAGCTGGCCTACTCAGCCACGCAACAAACACCAGAGCAGGGAGAGTGGACAACAGGACTTACTACACAGGGGCAAAAACACACAGGGAACGCTGCTGAGGCAGATGTAACAGATAGCTGGAGCAGTGGAGGGGCTTGGTTTGTTGAAGATCAGTCCCGGAGTCTCAGACCTCCAGCCAGGCGCTCAGCAGCACAACAATAAGCAAGAAAACAAAGCAGGATCAGATGCAGGGAGGGAGCTCTGGGGGAGTGCAGGAGCAATCAGTCAATTAGGGAATAATCCAGTGCAGGTGTGGTGTTGAGTGGTGCAGCAGAGAATCTCCCTCTCTACTGAATGGGGGCAGCATCAGAAGAGATAGCAGCAGTAGTAGCAACAGCAGCAATGGTGGTAGTAGCCCTCAAGTTCAGCCACTCAGGGTGTTCTCTAGGTGAAAGTGGAGGTGAGGGCGGGTGTGGCCTGTTAAGGCAGCTGGAGTAGATAAAGCAAGTTGAGGCTCTGGCAGTGATGGTGGGAGAGCAGCTCACAGGCAGTGTATGCTCCCTCCCCGGGCTATTCCCTGACTGCAGTTTGGCAGTAGGCCAGAACAGGGGTGCAGAAGCTGGAGTGTGGTAAGCCCCTTCCCAAGGGGGAAGGGATGTGGCCAGTTTACCCCCCAAAAGCCCTGAGAACAAGCTAGCAGCAGCCAGAGGCAGGAAAGGGCCTGGTGATCTTCTTTCCAGAAGCTTCTGAGACCAAGCTTGCAGTAGCAGCAGCAACAGCAGCCTGGGCCAGGATGGGGCATGGCCAAATTCCTCCCAGAGGCTCTTCCTCCAGAAGCTCCTGAGAGTGAGTAGTCCTGAGATGCTTGCCAGGGAAGCTTTTTATACTGCTGGCCTCAGCCTTCATCTCCCCTGGATGAAGATCTAGGAAGAGCTAGGCAGGGTCAGTTTGCCCCAAGTGGCACAACTTGTCCCACACCAAAGTGCATGTTCAGGCACATGTGCTGAGGCAAAAATCTCTTGCACAAATTTGTGATGCTCTTATTTGAGCTGCTGCAAGTGCACATGCTTGGATTGTGGACGTGCCCAGAGAGTCCCCAGACCTGGCCAGGTTCCAGCAAGCCCTGCTGTCTAGGCAGGGGGAACAAGGTTGAGGGCCACATTGGGTTCTCATGAAGTGGGGCTTCCTTCCTGGGGCAGGGGCAGTAACTCCCCAAAAAGTGTCTTCTCACACTTCTCCCAGCTCCCAGCCTCTGCTGGAAGCATCCTTCCACACCACTATTCCAAATCTGAATTAATCAAAACATGAGACCTATCTTTAATTTACTTCAACTTTATTTATTTTTAAATTCTTTTTAAAATTATTATTCTTATTTTAATTTTATCCTTCAGTGGCTGACTTCCTTCATTTCACTACCCTTCTTCCAGCCCCATTTCCTTTCCACCTCCCATTTCACTATCCATGCACATCCCATTAACTTGCTGCCTCCCAGTTTAATGTTCCTACCCCCTCAGCCTGTCTTTCACACAGCCTCCTACTCCCTTCCCCTCTCCCCCAACCTCCCCACAAGAAGAGCAGGGACAGAATCCTGTCCTGGGTCACCAGCCCTCTAATGGCAAATCACAGTTACAGCTCTTAGTCCTGCTCACCAGACCTTAGTGGCAAGTCAGCTGTGCAGGGTGGGGACAGCCAGAGAGGTTTCTGGCCTAAGGGTGTGAATTCTCCAAATGTGAGCTAGCACTAACACTGACCAACATGTGTGTGTCTCAAAGTACCATGTGTAACAAGGCCATCTGTCTGGAGAAGACTGAGCAGGGATTTGATTACAGTCTTCAAGTGCCTGAAGAGCAGTTATAGGGTGGATAGAGACAGACTTTGCTTTGCATCTGTAAGGGACAGGAGTAGGAGCTATGGCCTCAAACTGCAACAGAGGAAATTTAGGTTGGGGATGAGGATGAACTTTCTGAGTATGAGCAGTCAAGCATTGGAACAGGCTACCTAGAGAAGTTTTGAAATTTTTCAGGAATGGAGATTGAACAAACAAGGTAGATGGACGTTAGGCTGAGATGTTTAGTCACAAATGATTCTGTCTTGAGCAGGGGGCTAGATTGATGACTTCCAGAGGTCCCTTTCAACTCTACTTTCCTATGATCCTACAAAGCTCAAGGTAGAAGCTGGATAGAGCGGTTAAAAAAAATCTTCTATTTAGGTATTCAGAAAAACAAAGTTTTATTTTTTCTTCCACAAGAAGTGTTGTTTTATAATGTTTTGTTAAATTTTGACTTCTTGCCATCCTCTCCTCACTGAAAGCTGAGAAGTTTAAGGGGCTTCCCATAATGCAGTGCAGTGGCTCAGCAAAGAGGGAGAGTGGTGCATGCAAGTCCAAATAGAAATGTTCAGGTTTTGATCTTTCTGGTGAAAAATCAAATTATTTTTCAGGGGGAGGCAGCCTATTTTCCCACAAGCTGTAGTTTTTAACCTTTAATTTGAACTTAAGTTTATTTCAATTCATGAATGCAGAATTTTGCCAGAGGTGCTTGTGTTTTTCTTCTTTTGTTACTGGAGAGAACAGACATGTATCCAGAGATCTTAGCCTGTTGGATACTCAGTGGGACCTATTATGCTGTAAACTAAACACAATACTAGGCTTTTTAAAATACCCAGCTTTTGAACCTTATAAGAATAAGATATTTTTACAAGTCAACTTCACATAGGTGAAATTTTCTACGTCTGCATTTTCAGTTTTTGTCTTATGCCTTTTAGGGAGTAAGCTAGGGTAACTGACAACTTTATAATTAGAGTACAATTCAGCAACTATTTTATGGCAGAATGCCCAGCCTGATTTGATTTTAAACACTCTCATTCCTGC